ACTAACTCAGCTTAGAGGGAATGCTGCTTGCCCGTGTGGATCGTCTTGAGAGGATAGCCGTGTTGTAGGACAGTTAGATTCGAGTCCAATAGCACCTTAAGAGACCAACTGGTTTCAGGGCAGAAGCTTTTGAGAGTCAAGACTCTCTTCGTCAGACACTTCGTTCTGTAAAAGGGAGCAGTGGCTCACGAAATCTCCTCCCTTGCCACAAATGTTGTTAGTCTTTAAGGCGCTGCTGGACTCTTTCTCTTTCCGTCGGACCCAGTAGAGTAGAAATGTAGACCTGGCGTCCTTTTTATCCTAGTCAGAAGGTGAGAAGGGTGTAATAAAGAATGCTTGTGAAGACTTCAAAGGTAGAGGGCAAGAATCGAGGCCAGTTTGGCTGGAGATCCCGGAGGGTTGTTTTGGGGGGGGTGTGTGTGTGTGTGTGTGTGTTTGTGTTTTGTCATCTTCTGGGCCTGGAACAGGGGGTCACTGGGGGTGTGGAGGGGGGGAGGTATTTGTGAATGTCCTGCATTGTGCAGGGGGTTGGACTACATGACCCTGGAGGTCCCTTCCAACTCTGTGATTCTACAATGCATAGTGTAGATCCAGGTGGGTAGCCGCGTTAGTCTGTAACAGTAGAAGAGAGTTAAGAGTCCAGTAGCACTTTAAAGGCTAGCAAAACCTGTGACAGGGGAGGAGCTTTCCTGAAGCACCGCTCAGAAGAAGTGAGCGGTGACTCATGAAAGTTTATCCCCTAGCACAAATTGTGTTAGTCTGTAAGGCGCTACTGGAATCTTACCCTTTTCTAATGCACATTGTAATCAGCTTGATTAGAGCAGCGGGGAAACGGTTGGGGGCAGAAAATCAGCGTCTGTCGTGAGATGAAAATACTGTGGCCCAATTCAGCCCTGAGAAAACAGCTCCCTGACAAAGGAAGCTCTGACTCTCGAAAGTGTGTACCCTGAAACTCCTGTTGGTCTCTACAGTGCTCCTGGACTCAAATCTAACTGCTAGTGTGGTGCTAATGGTTAAAATTGTTGGACAAGGATCAGGAAGACCCAGGTTCGAATCCCCCATCAGCAATGGAAGCTTGTCGGGTGACCTTGGGCCAGTTTGGTGTAGTGATTAAGTGTGCGGGCTCTAATCTGGGAGAACCGGGTTCGATTCCCCACTCCTCCACTTGCACCTGCTGGGTGACCTTGGGCAAGCCATAGTTCTCTCAGAGCAGTTCTCTCAAGAGCAGTTTGTGTCAGAGTTCTCTCAGCTCCACCTACCTCACAGGGTGTCTGTTGTGTGAGGGGAAGGGAGTAGGAGTTTGTAAGCTGCTCTGAAACTCCAAGTGAAGGGCGGGGTATAAATCCAGTCTCCTCCTCTTCTTCTGTCGCCCTCTCAGCCAAACCTACCTCACAGGGAGGAACATTGTCAACCACTTTCGGTCCCCACTCACTGAAAAGAGGTGGGATATAAATGAAGTGAATAAATAAATACAAATATCTGAGATCTGCTCCTTGGAGTTGGCCTGGAACAGAGTCTGCTGCATGCAGAGCATTTGCTCTGTCACTGAGTTCCTTTATTTATCTGCGAGTGATTTAGCTACTGCGTAAATCAGTGTGCTCCGGAGCCCTCTTTCCTGAGCTAGGACAAAAATCTGTGAGTCAGAGGCTAAAAAACTGTGCGCTAGCTCACACTAACTCAGCTTAGAGGGAACACTGTTCATAGGGTCACCATAAGCTGGGGGTGAATTGACGGCACATCACACACACACACACACGCAGAGGGGAAAACAGATGGGTATGGGTACCCATATTGTGGGTGCTTTTTTGTCCTTAAAGGTAAAGGTTCCCTTGCTCGAAAGCCAGTCGAATCCGACTCTAGGGTTGCGGTGCTCATCTCCGTTTCAAAGCCGAAGAGCCAGCGCTGTCCGAAGACGTTTCCGTGGTCATGTGGCCGGCATGACTAAACATCAAGGCGCACGGAACGCTGTTACCTCCCCACTGGAGTGGTACGTATTTATCTACTTGCAGTTTCTTGCTTTCGAACTGCTAGGTTGGCAGGAGCTGGAACTAGAGACGGGAGCTCACTCCATCATGTGGCACACTTGGGTCTCGAACTGCTGAACTAGTGACCTTCCACAGCCTGCAGAGACTTAAAACGGGAGCCATTTGCAAACATGGAGGGGGGGGGTTGATCTGGCCCCGTATGGGCAAAGTGTTTAGAATCAAACGGCACATCTGGAGTTCCAGGAACAGAACTGCAACATCACGCAGAGTCTCACCCTGAACCACACAGTCAGAAGGGGCCTCACAAGCCATCTTGTGAGCAAAAATTCTACTTCGTGAGCAACTGGCCTTAAAGTTGTGAGCGAGCAATTTGGCTGCTGCATAAATTAGTGTGCTCCGGAGCCATCCTTCCCGAGCCGAGACAAAAACGGGTGAGCCTGAGGCTAAAAAACTGTGAGCTAGCTCACACTGATTCAGCTTACAAAGAGCGCTGATGGTGACCCAGAGCATTTCATATACTTCTGCTCTCCATTTTACCCTCACAACAACTTTGTGGTGCAGGTTTGGCTGCAAGCGTATGACTCGGGCGGCCAGATATATTAAAAAAAAAAACAATTCCGGACACACCAAGACGCCGGCCCCTCCTCCCCCTAGAGCAAACCACGGCAAGCACTGCCGCACTTTCGCCCTGGCCACCACCTCCTCCCAGGGCAAACAGAGCCAAGCGCACTGTTTGCCCTCACAGTGAAGCTTCCGGCCCCAGCATGAAACAGCAGCAACTGCTGCTTCAGCGCTGCCCATTTTGACCTGGACAGTCCAGTATTTTGATTCTGACTGTCTGAGAAAGTGCTGGAAAAATACTGGACATTTAAATGTCAGGTACTTTTTCAATTTTTTCCCCATGGTCAATGAAAATACTGGACTGTCTGGGTCAATACTGGACACCTGAAAACTTTATGTATGACTGGCCCACAGTGACCCAACAAGAAGAAGATGAGGAGATTGGATTTATACCCCGCCCTTCACTCAGAGCGGTTTACAATCTCCTTCCCCTCCCCACAACAGACACCCTGTGAGGTAGGAGAGGCTGAGAGAGCTCTGAGAGAACTGCTCTTTCAAGGACAGCTCTGACAGAACTATGGCTTGCCCAAGGTCATCCAGCAGCTGTGAGCGGAGGAGTGGGGAATCAAACCCAGTTCTCCCAGATTACAGTCTGTGCACTTAACCACTACACCAAAGTGGCTCACTCACAAGTCACCCAACAAACTTCCAAACCAGGTCTTCTGGATCCTAGCTTGACACTCTAATCTAGGGCTCTTTAGCTTGGAGAAACGACAATTGAGGGAATGACAAGATAGAGGTTTACAAAAGTATGCATGGAAGGCAGAGAAAGAAGTCTTTTTCTCCCTTTGTCACAATATAAGAACTTGTGGGCACTCAATGAAATTGACGAGCAGTAGGCTTAGAACAGATAAAAGGAAGTACTTCTTCACCCAAAGAGTAAATCACACATGGAATTCACTGTGGCAGGAAGTGATGGCGGCTACAAGAATAGACAACTTCAAGAGGGAATTGGATGAACACATGGAGCAGAGGTCCATCAGTGGCTATTAGCCACAAAGTATAGATTTAACACATATATTCGGGGACAGTGATGCTCTGTATTCTTGGTGCTTGGGGGGCCACGGTGGGAGGGCTTCTGGAGTTCTGACCCCGCTGGTGGACCTCCCGGTGGCACCTGGGTGTTGGCCATTGCGTAACATCTAGTGTTGGACTGGATGGGCTGTTGGCCTGATCCAACATAGCTTCTCTTATGTTCTTAACCTATACACTCTACTGGCTGCTCTCCTGATATTTCAGGAATTGCCATCCCCAGTAAAAATGCAATGGCCCTATTCACTAGTTTCACAGCATGGACTAGGAGCATGAGGATGCTGTATCAGTTCCCTGCTCTTTGTGCCATTGGAATGCCCAATTTGATGGGCGTTGGGGGCTATTAGCGTCCTTGGGCTGATTCTGGGCTTTCTGGGTTACAAAGTTTTCTGCTCTGTCTGCAGTCCTTACTGGAGGGATATAGATAGGACTTAGTTTCTAAATGGGGAGTACCAGAGTGGAAGCAGAATACATAAGCTTTGTGCATTCCCAGACATCTGGGAGCTGCCCATGGGGACAAAGTATTCAGCAAACACTCCAGGCTGGTTCATGCATGGATGTACGTCACATGGTCTTTCATTACCAATGCAATGCAAAAAGTCTCTTGATTGGAAGATGTAATTTTGGGTACATAACGATAAGACTTCTGTTTGCTTTGGCTGATCTTTGATAAATCACACATACAAGCCATACCTTACAGCTCCAGTCAATGAGGAACAAATGAAATGCCACACAATCACTTCTTAGGTTGTAGGGCCGAGGTTGTGCTCTTAAATGAGCTTTAGAAGGGACACTTGACGAATCCTGGCTTAGACGAAGTTTGGAGCCAGGCAAAGCAACAAGTTCTGCTCCCTCTGGAGAGGAAACGGTATTCCTAATCTCTGTCCCTGTGCCTACCGGTGTCCTGTACATCCTTCAGTGAGACTCATCATCTTCTGGCAGAAAGGACTAGTGATAACGTGACACCTTCCTGCTCAAGTTATAGGTTGATTTGTTGAAAGAGCCTTCAGCTGTTCACAGTAAAGTTGGATGACAGGGAATGTTCCCTCTAAGCTGTGGAGTCTTGTGAGCAAAAATTATATTTTGTGAGCTACTGGCATTAAAGTTGTGAGCGAGGAATCTGGCTACTGCAGAAGTTAGTTTGCTCTGGAGCCATCCCTTCCTGAGCTAAGACAAAAACGTGTGAGACGGAGGCTAAAAAACTGTGGGTTAGCTCACACTAACTCAGCTTAGAGGGGACACTGATGACATGGAATCTCATCTTCCTCTGTTCTTTAATAAAACCAGCGTCAATTGCACTGTTACCTCTTACTGGTTATCTTCAAAGGGCCAATGCCTGTGGTTTGTACATTTGTCATGCAGGACAGCACCGGCATGAAGCTTTGGAAGAAGCGGTGGTTTGTTCTTTCTGATCTGTGCCTCTTCTACTATCGGGGTAAGTTTGTTCAACCTTTCTATGTCTTAGAGATGTTTTCCAAAGAGGATATAATATCTTTTTTTTAAAAAAAAAGTCAAGATAGTTGCTTAAATAAATGTCTGCTTATTTATCTCTCTGGTTGGTGTGTGTGGGTAAACTTAGGTTGGTATGTTGCACACAGGCAGATCACGAGAAGGGAGGGCAGGAAAGGTCGCCTCAGTGCTTAGTTCTCGTGGCCCTTTCTTACACGCCCAGGGAAATGCTGATCGCCACTTTGAGATCAGGAAGCAGTTTTTCTCCAGGCCAGTACAACCAGGGATCCTGGAGGGGTTTTTTTGTCATCTTCTGGGCATGGAACAGGGATCACTGGGGGAAAAGCTCCCTCTAAGCTGTGGAGTGTTGTGAGCAAAAATTCTACTTTGTGAGCTACTGGCATTCAAGTTGTGAGCGAGCCATTTGGCTACTGCATAAATTAGTTGGCTCTGGAGCCATCCCTTCCTGAGCAAAGACAAAAAGGTGTGAGCAGGAGGATAACAAACTCTGAGCTAGTTCACACTAACTCAACTTAGAGCGAACACTGACTGGGTGTGTGTGTGTGTGGGGGGGTTCTTTCTGAATTCCCTGCATTGTGCAGGGGGGTTGGACTCGATGACCCTGGAGGTCCCTCCCAACTCTATTTCTGTGCACAGAAGACTCTGTAATCCAAAGACATGGACAGTTAGATATGTGTGCCCAGTAAGTCTCTTTCTCTCTCTCCCCCCCCCCCCCACAACCCTGTCTTTTAAATTTAGAGGAGGTTCAAAAACAACTTGAAGAGCAGTGCCAGAGTTATGGGGAGGAGGGATACACAGCACTTAAAAAAATGAGCATTGCCATGTTTACATCTTTCTGCGCCACTGAAAGAGGACACCTGATGCATTTTAAGAGAATTGTGTAAGAAATCAGATTGAATATGGCCAGAGGTTTCTTCCCTGCATTGATTCGTCTTGTTCTGCCCATTTTCCAAGGGTGTTTTACTACTACTGCTGTTATTTGCTAAAATGAGATTTCAGGCATAAAATAGTGACTTAACTGTGGGGAAACAGAATAAAGTGAACTAGAAAGTTCCCAGTAGCGCTGACGAAGAGAAACCTTTTTGATCAGAAATACCAGTGCCATCAGGAGGTCCTTTGGGGTCAGGCAGCAATTTTTCTCCAGGCCAGTTTGGAACAGCAGTCACAGAGGGTGCGGGGGGAGGTATTTGTGAATTTCCTGCATTGCGCTGGAGGTTGGGCTAGATGACCCCAGAGGTCCCTTCCAAACCTGTGATTCTAAGACTCTGTGAGGAAAGGCACCACTGGTGTGCTGGTTACACAGAGCCAAAGGTTTGCTCTGTGTTAAATTCTGTTGACGTTCCGGGAAATGATTCCTGTTTCCCCAGCCCCTCATATTTTATAACTGCATTAAGACTGGATCAAATGTATTTCCCGAGCTGGAAACATGCATCAGATTAACATATGTTTCAACACAGTGTGTTAAATATGCATGGCTTGGAGACAGTGTTCTCTTGCCATGTGATTTTTTCCCCACCAGCCAGCTGTGGTCTTTCCAAGCGAAAAACATTCCGAGCCCGGAGTCTCATAAGAGGATGATGATGGGCTCTTAGAAATCATAACAATTGGAAAACGTAATAAACATTAAGTTCGTGCAATTTGCCCTTTGTTAACTAATCCTTTTCGAGCACTCCGGTCCAATCTTTTCAAATGTGTTTTAATAGTTAGGGTGTCTAGACACTTATAAAGATGGTTTATTTCGTTCGGATTTATGAGGTTCGGTGTTAATGAGAAAAATCCCAAGGTCTGCATCACTTTGAATTGGTGTTATGTATTTAAGCTAGCCAGCCTAAAGCCAGGTCAAAATGGCAGTCTGCTTACATGAGATTAGGAAGAGTAAAAGCTGGGGGAAAGTACAGGAGAGGACAACCTCGATGATTAAGGGCTTGGACACCTTTCCTATGAGGAAAGGCTGAAGTGTCTGGTACTTTACAGTTCAGGAAAGAGAGGGCTAAGGGGGAACGTGGTAGAGGTTTATAAAATTATGTACTGGGTGGAGAGAGTTGACAAAGAGGATTTCTTTTCCCTCACCCAAAATTCTAGGGCCCGAGGGCATCCGATAAAGCTGATGGGCAGTAGATTCAGGATGAACAAAATCAAATAATTACTTAAACCAGAATAATAAAAAGTCCAGTAGCACCAGGGCTATTTTTGGGCAGGAACGCACAGGAACGGAGTTCCAGCTGGCTCCCAAGTTGGCCACACCCAGCAGGAACTCATTAGCATAATAGGTCACATTCAACAGCAGGAACTCATCAGGATTGGCTACATTAGGGGTGTGTGGCCTAACATGCAAAGGAGTTCCTGCTACAAAAAAAAGGCCCTGGGTTTTGACAACAAACAAGGTAAACAGAATAACAAGCAAAAGGTGGGTGTGGGTGGTTGTGGGTGGATAACCACACTTCTGGTAACATGGGGGTGCGTCCTAATGTGCTAATGAGCTGTGCTGGCAGGGGTGTGGCCTAATATGCTAATGAGTGTCTGCTGTTGGGTGTGGCCTATTATGCTAATGAGAAAGTGCTGCACCGTTAAGACTAACAAACTTTATTGTAGCGTAAGCTTTCGAGAAACACAGCTCTTTTATGTCAAAGGCATCTGATGAAGAACTCGTGGGCACTCCATGAAACTGCAGAGCGGTCGGGTTAGAACGGATAAAAGGAAGTACTTCTTCACCCAAAGAGTGATTAACACATGGAATTCACTGCCACAGGAAGTGGTGGGTGCTACAAGCATGGACGGCTTCAAAAGGGAATTAGATAAGCATATGGAGCAGAGGTCCATCAGTGGCTATTAGCCACAAGGTATAGCTAGGGGCTCTGGGGCAAGTGATGCTCTGTCTTCTTGGTGCTTGGGGGGGGGGGGTCAACAGTGGGAGGGCTTCTAATGTCCTGGCCCCACTGCTGGACCTCCTGATGGCACTGGTATTTCTGGCCACTGTGTGACACAGAGTGTTGGACTGGATGGGCCTTTGGCCTGATCCAACATTGGCGTCTCTTATGTTCTTATGTTCTTAAGAGAGCTGTGTTTCTCAAAAGCTTACGCTACATTACAGTTTGTCAGTCTTAAAGGTACTACTGGACTTTTTTACCATTTCGCAGCAACAGACTAACACGGCTAAACTCCTCTGGATCTATTATTTCAACCAGTTATTTAGTTAAAACATTTCTTGGCTGCCTTTCTCTGTTGCAGTACTCAAGGCGGCCTACAGCATAAATTAAACATTATCAACACATAATAGAAATTCTAAAACTTGTGAAAAGTGGGTTTAAAAATTGCAGTCAGGACTGCCAATAGTAAAATCTCAATTAATCAAATGTAGTCCTGAATAAATCTGGTCTTCAGCTGCCTCCCGAGGATCAACAGTAAGGGGCCAGGCATCCATCCTCGGGGAGGAGGAGGAGGGGGAGGAGATTGGATTTATACCCTGCCCTTCACTCGGAGTCTCAGAGCGGCTTACAGATTCCTTTCCCTTCCCCTCCCCAGAGCAGACACCCTGTGAGGCAGGTGAGACTGAGAGAGCTCTGACAGAATTGTCCTTGAGAGAACAGCTCTGACCAAGAACAATGGCTTGCCCAAGGTCGTCCAGCAGCTGCGATTGGAGGAGTGGGGAATCAAACCTGGTTCTCTCAGATTAGAGTCCGTGCACTTAGCCACTACACCAAACTGGTTGTTCCATAGCTGTGGGGCTGCCACAGAAAAGGCCCTCTCTCCTGTAGCCACCAAACAAGTGTCATCAATCGGTGGGACGGTCAGGCCACCTCCCTGTGATCTTGATTCTCAGACAGGAGTGTATGGGAGAAGGCGGTCTGTCAGGTACTTTGGTCCCAAGCCATGTGGGGCTTGAAAGAACAGAAACAACACCTTGAACTGGGCTCAAGAGTGGATCAGTAGCCAGTGTAATTACTGTAGTATTGGGGACATATACTCCCGATAGCCAGCCCCAGCCCTGTAGTCAAGATTGTGTGGCTTCTGGGGCAAAAAGTTTTCTGGTGGGGCTAAAGATTAAGAACCCAAAGCTACTTACGGTCAAGGCTATTTTGGGGCAGGAACGCACAGGAACGGAGTTCCGGCTGGCTCCTGAGTTGGCCACACCCAGCACGAACTCATTAGCATAACAGGCCACACCCAACAGCAGAAACTCATTAGGATTGGCTACATTAGGGGTGTGTGGCCTAACATGCAAAGGAGTTCCTGGTACAAAAAAAGGCCCTGGGTTTTGACAACAAGGTAAACGGAATAAGAAGCAAAAGGTGGGTGTGGCTGGATGGCCACACTTCTGGTAACATGGGGGTGTGGCCTAATATGCTAATGTGCTGTGCTGTCAAGGGTTTGGCCTAATATGCTAATGAGTGTCTGCTGTTGGGTGTGGCCTGTTATGCTAATGAGTTCCTACTGGGCTTTTTCTACAAAAAAAGCCCTGCTTACGGTTGTTTCAGATGCACTGTGTATGTCTTCTGTTCTATAGCAATACTATATGACACTCTGCCCTGTACCATTCCAAACCATATGGAGAAAAAGACAATGAACATAAACAGTCTTAATTACTGGAGATGTTTAAAAATATTTTTTTTAGAAAATTCAGAAGGAAATCTTGTGGGACTGGCCCTTTAAGGAAGGGGCGGGGGGGGGGCAATAGCCCCACTGTAGCTATGGCCTAGTTTGGCCCCAACCAGTAGTCCAGTCACAGCATTCTGCACTAGCTGCAGCTTCCAAACACTCTTCAAGAGTAGCCCCAAGTAGAGCACATTGCAGTCCAGTCTAGGTATAGCTGAGGAATGGATCGCTGTGGCTAGATCTGACTGAACTAGGAACAGACACAGCTGAAGTACCAGCAGGAGTTTGGCAAATGCACTACAAGCCACAGCAGCCACCTGGTTTTCTAAGGTGGCTGCTGTATCAAGCAGTACTCCTGCCCTGTGAACCTGG